CCCCCCCCCCGATGCGCACGCACGCACGCAACCACACAATCACACAGTGGCCTCGACAGCACTCGCGCCGGCATTTACCTGTCCGCGGTGCTGGTCCTTATTGCCTACACCCCCATCCAGTTTGCGGTTTTCATGCCGAGCGCCGTGGCCTTCCTGCTGATCGTGGCCCTGGGCGAGTTCTTCCTGCTCTCCTCGCTGACTCCCGTGAATGCGGTGTTCCTGTCCTGTGTGTCGTCGGACCAGCGCGGCCACTCGATGGCCGTGATGACGCTGCTGATCCATCTGCTGGGAGACATGTGGTCGCCGTACATCTTCGGTGCCATCTCCGATGCGTCCAGCAAGCAGGTGGCGCTCTTCTGCGTGGCGGCCGTGCTGATCATGACCGCGGCCTTCTGGTGTGCTGGTGCGCTGTATGCCCGGCAGACCGGGCGCTCGCATCTTGGCGGCGCGTCGCCCACCTCCAGCGGCTTCATGAAGATCGACGACGCGTAAGACGACGCGTAAGGCGCGGGGGGGGGGGGGGGGGTGGGGGGGGGGGGGGGGGGGGGGGGGGGGGGGGGGGGGGGGGGGGGGGGGGGGGGGGAAAAGGGGAAAAAAAGGGGGGGGAAAAAAAGGGGGGCGCATGTTCCGCCATCCCGGCGTGAGCGCGCGCGCGCGCGCCCGCATGAATCCCCGGACAACGCCCGCCGTTGGGGCCGGCGAGATGACAACTGAACGGCCTGTCCTCGAGGGTGAGGGCCCGCGGCCGCCCGGGTCGCGGGGCGCGGCCGGCTGTGCCGGTGTTATTCCTCCTGCCTGCCTGATTGTTTATTATTATCTGCACATCTCCCCCTGCCCGGGCCTCGTTGGGCAGCGTGTTCCCGCGCCCGCGCCCGCGCCCGCGCCCGCCCCTGGCCCCGGGATGCGGCGAGCGCCCTAGGGCGGGGGGAGGGAGGCACCAATTTCCACCATCGGACTGGTGCACGCGGCGTTCTCGGCCCTTTTTCCCCGGGCGGTCCCCGCCGGCAGGGCGCCGGGATGCTCGCGCCCGCTTCGGCGCGCGCGGGTGCCTGGTCTGCACGCTGCGCGTTTGCGCCCTCTGTCTCTTTGTCCCTCTATCACTCTCTTTGTCCCTCTATCACC